TTTCCTATGGAGAGGTCTAATGCGCCTGCGGGGCATTGCCGCCCATGCACATTAGGTCTCCCCCGCCGGCTGACGCGATGAAGGGGAGGAGCGTGAGCGGAGGAAGAAGCAGCGACGTGGAACATGTCGCTGCCTCTGGTAAGTCACTGAAGGGGTTTTCACCCCTTCAGCAACCAGGGATGGGAGGTGGGAGGGAGAAGGGACCTGTAGTGCCCGGAAAACGGATTGTTTTCTTTTTTTTTGTCCCTCGATTGGTCATTTTACGCGTACACCAGCAATGTCTTGTGTTTTTGGCACAGCTGCTAAAAGATATGGAATTTTACAGAACACTGCAGGGTACAAGGATGAATTTGCATAAAATAAAAATATTATCCTTACAAAACATGACTTGGTTATATATTGTCCTAACACGTTTAAGACTTCCGTCTACTACGAGATCACAAAATCAGATGATCTAAAGATTTCTGATATTTTTGGAAGGTTAATGGTTTGAGGTGGACATGAGTTCTTACCTCTCATCAATTTCGGCAAAAATAAAATGATTGCTGATGCTTTTTCAATATAGGTCATCCTTTGTGTGCACATTTTGTTGCTGTTGGATAAACTATTTTTCCAACTATAGAGGGCTTATAGATTGCTGACCCTATGAAGCATTTGTAGGACAGGAGATGCACTAAAAAAAGGTATGCATACTTCCCAACATTGGATTAGCACATCGGGATGGGTGTGCGGGCCTTCTAGGGCCTGGTAGTCCTAGTTCCCTGAGTACAGCTCAGGTGTGTCTAATGATGTGGTTGCACTGTGCAAGGACACTGCTGAAATAAGTAGAAATTGTGGGACGGGACCCTGAAATCGGAACTGTTTTAATGAAAGCAGTACTTTTGGGAGAGAAGGGTATTTGCTTTTATGAATGTATTACAGACTAATACTCACAGTGATACATGTAATCTTTGATTTTTAATATAAAAGAGTTACGGTTTTTCTACACTATGCCCAGAAGCAATGCTGGATTTAACCAAAGAATCACCACCTAAAATTTTTATTTAATGTTTTACAGTGAATTTGAGTACAAGAAATTAATACAATGATTAATCTCTTGCAATCTTCGGAACAGGATGATATCCCTGTCAAGACAATTTAAATTTGTAATTTCTAATTGAAGCTATTGGCTGTAAGATGTGATTCATTTGTTGGCACCCCAGCCCCAGTGTTCTAGCTGCTTCTCACAAACATGGAAAATGGTTAATACATACTAGTGAAGAAAAATCATGTTTTTTTTAATGTATATATACACATGAATAATAATAATATTAAAAAATGCAGCATAATATTCATGCAGCACATGAATATTGAACATAAATACACTTTCTCCCACCTAACAGCTGCTAACGCAGCATGTGACATTTAAACTCACTTCTCGTAACTTGCAAGGGAGAGAGAGAAAAAAATATATATTTTAGGTTTAGTTTTTAATCTTCACCACAAGGAAGAGGTAAAATTATACAATGATACACGACAATGACCACCGGAAATAGATATGTGCAAATTAATTTTCTCCCATAATGCTAATAACGCTTCATCGTAAAATGTTAAGCATACAGCTCAACGCTAGATACTGTCAGATACTGCTCTAGGTATTTGACGACCCACAAATATACACACGTACATTTACATCCATTAGGCGGCCATCTTGGAGGAGGGAGTTGACAAAATCTAGATAAGTATGTCTTTTCCTCTACACATTTCTGGTGACTTCACTAACACAATGTACAAATGAAATGTGGTAATTAACTCAACAATCTTGTAGAAATTAAAATTCTACAAGAATAAGTGTAATGATCCAGTCGTGGGCTATGCATGGTGTGTCCAAAATATTTAACTAAATTAGTAGATCACTAAAAAGTTTCTTCAAGCACCATGACAACTTCAGTGTTATGTATGTATGTGTAACTCCACCTTTGGCAGTGTCATTGGTTGTCATTAGCCTACCTGGGGCATGACTTCCTTGCCAGCTAATGCCAATTCTGTGCCTCTCTCCATGAACAGAATGGCATTCATTGGCTGAGAGCAGTCAGCTGACTGTACAGGTGTGACTTTGTGGTCTGACCATCACCCGTGTTATCAGCAAGGCTACAGGTCACACTCTCTGAGACTGTTAACTATGCTGAAATAAAAGAAGCACAACTAAAGGTTTAAGTTCAAGCAGGTGAAATGTTTCTGATATAAGAAAGAAACAGGAACTATATATATAAACTAAAAAAGAAACACAGCATTAAAGCGTCTGTCACCCTTAAACTCATCTATTATTTTCTTTCTCTCGGAATCTTTTCTGATATTTTTTCTCATAAGATACAGCCTACTTAGTGTTATGTATTTTTACACTACTTGACATATCGTTGCCATGATTTGAGAAAGTCCTATTTTACCAGAATGCTCACCGTCCCGTTGAGGTTGGAGAATTTTTATAAATCAGCTATTCTGGTTTTACAATTTTTAGTTTTTTAAGTCACTTGGTGTTCAGTGAAAAGATGCATTTATTAGCAAAAGCAATGACAGTTGAACCTAGAAATTGTACTGTCCTTCAAAAATGAATACCAATATTATTGGAACGGACTAAAGTAAGGCTGAGCTGAACTACTAAGAGAAACTCATAGTGTATATTTCCAAATCAGGTTCTTGCTGTGCATTTCGTTTGCATAGACAGAGAGGAATGTCACCTTGCCAAGAGCCAATAACACAGGGGAAGTGAGAATTCTATACCGTCCTCTATATTTTGTCTGTACATTTCGATGCTCACCTTTCCCATGAGCTATGCAACTTGGCTTGATTTCAGAACTAAATTGGGATGACATAGCTGTCCTGGGCTGGAGGCAAAGAAAAAAAACTAGATAATAAATCCTGAGTAACTTTACACGGAATTACACTTACTGTACATATTGCACCAGGATCTTATTGTGTGCTAGCACTGCCAAGCCAAAACAAACATGAACAAACATCGCAGTACAATGCTGTGTTTCAATTTCAATTAGGTTTATTCACTAAACTGTGATTTGTATCCAACTTAAATCTGGATGCCAAAATTGAGGCTGAAAATACCCAAGTTGTACCTATGGCAGATTTTCATTTTCAGATTAGCTATTTTACCTTGAATGTTGCCAGACAGATTTCCATTTACCACAATTCAGAGTTTTGTAAATAAGCCACTAAGCTAGAGTTGGGCAACCATCTGCACTCCAAATGTTGTAGACTATGCCTCCACTGATGATTTGCCAGCATTATGCATGTAAAAGCTTTATGGAAGATGTAGTTCATAACATATGGAGTGCCAAAGGTTACCTACCCCTGCTCGGGGCATTAGAAACAAATAGGTAAAGTACAGAAGAAGAGCGATAGATAGATAGATAGACAGCAGACAGACAGAGAAAGAGAGGGACGAGAACAAGAGAGAACAAGAGAGATGAGTGAAAGAGGAGAGAGGCATCATTAGGAGTAGTTGTTAAAATAAATATCTGAAAAACCTCCACAGATTAAAACATACAAAAGAAAACAAAACACTTATTAGAGCTATTCACTTAACTTTGAATTTAAGAGAATTAAAATCAGAATGTCAACGTTTAGGCAAAGGTCTGGAGATATTTCTAACGTCACTTTTATTTACTATTTAGCTACTTTAGTCTTTATCATTCAGATTTTAATTTTAGTCTAATGATTCAAGTCTAAATTGCTGTTGCCTTACTTTGTCTTCCTCTCACACTTTGGACTAAAAATTAATATTGTCGGATAAGCTGTTCACTGAAATTTGCCCAAACCAACGCACCATACAGACGAATCTTGGACCACCCAAATATTTATTTTTTTATTTTTGAACAAATCGATTTGACAGAACCAAATTTCTGTGCGAAACACAAGTCTATTCCAAATCATGGCAGCAACATCTTTGCAGAATATATAAACAAAAACTAATGGTCCACAATAAGGGATGACCCAATCTGGTCCCCATAGGGATATCAAAAAAATTTGGACTTTTGGTGGTCCATAACATAAAGGCCACCATGTAAAATTTTGTGATAAACTTTTAAAATGATTTAATATTTTTGGATACACCTTTTAAAAAATATTTCTTTTCAAAATATTAAAATATCGAAAAATATATAAATTTAAAAAAAAAATATCAAAACATTTCACACTGAAACGAGTTTTCAGAATAATAAATAATTTTAAAAGTTTATCCAAAAATATTAAATCATTTGAAACCATATAATGGGTTAAATAACACTTTATTCACTTACCCGATTCCAGCACCAATGTTCTTCCTCTGACGTCAGCTGAAAGAGCGGACCTAAAGCGCATGCGCGGTTAGCGCTGAGAGTGCATTAGGCTTTCCCCAAAAGAAAAATTGCTTTAATGCTTCCTATGGGGGGTTTCCTTGATGCGGATTGTCCTCATGCAAAGGGTGAGGATGTCCAGTGTCTTTTCTCAGAGTCAAACTTTATGAAACTCCAGGAAGTGCCTCTAATGACTGTCTGGTAGACAGCCACTAGAGGCAGTCTTGACCCTGCAATATACTTCATTGCAGTACTAAGGGGTACAGAAGACTCTGCACCAAGACCACTTCAATTTGATGAAATGGTCAGGATGCCTGTAGTGCCCCTTAGACAATTTGTTATACCATTTTTCTAATTCTAGTATTTTGATATACCATTTTGATATTATTTAAATAATTTGAGTATTTTGATATGCCAGTTTGATATTATTTAGATAATTTTAGTATTTTATTATACCAGTTTGATATTACTGAGATCATTTTATTATTTGATATACCATTTTGATATTATTTAGCCTGGTATGATACACCTGTTAAAGTGCACCCATACCAGGCTATAGATACTGTCCCCACTGTCTCTGAAAGGCCTCTAGGGATGCAGTGGGTTAATAGCTCTGCAGCTGGAGAGAAAGACACCAGCTCCGCCTCTCCACTGACATGTAGCTCCGCCCGGCCCCTGACGTCACTGCATTCTGAAAAAGATACAACAACAATCTGCAGAGCAGGCAGAGATACACTGTGAGCAGACCTGGGGACCACACACACACTCACACAGGGGATCAGGGGTCCAGCAAGGCTGCAGACATGGTGTCTCCTGTCACTGTGGTGAGTTACAGCATCAGTTAGCCTGGCAGGTATATAGGGCATGACACAAAGGGCTGCATGATGGAGGGGGAGGGAAGGGGGGCACACTGCAGGTGGGGGATCTGATGGCAGGCCCTTTAAATTGCTGTCATCCTGGGCATCAACAGATTGTGTATCTAGCTGTTTGTCTGTCTGTGTTTTATTCTGTATGTGAGGTGTATGTGCTTCATACAGTATATAGGCACTGTGTACATGTATGGGCTAATGTGTTCTAGTGTTGTATATGTGTAATGTGTATGTGTGTATGTGGTTTTGTATTTTCTATGGAATGTGTGTATGTTTGTGTGAATGATGCTATTTTTGTATATTCTGTATATATATTGTGTAAATAATGTTTTTTTTTCTATATCCTGTGTGTGTGTATATGTGTGTATATATATATATATATATATATATATATATGTATGTATAAATAATGTTATTTTTCTATATGCTGTGTATGTAAGTTTTTAAATAATGTTGTTATTGTATATGCTGTGTATATTATGTGTATACACTGTCATACTGTATATAATCCAGTGAAAATACAGGCTATACAGCTGTACACAGAGAGGAAGGGGCGCTCACACATTGTATCTGGGTGCTGTGTGGTGCATTGCTACATTGTGTGTTACAGCATGAAAACACCCATGTGACTTGTTTTCATGCGTGTTATTGTTGTGCTGAGCTGCAGTCCTACCCATTGGGAGGGCCCTCACCTCTTGTAACAGCCCACATTGGGGTGCAGGAAGAGAAAGTCCCCCACAATGCAGGGACAGACTGGGACAAAGAGCTGGCAAGCCTTACTGTGCTATTAAAGAGACATTAACCGTGTCAGTGCTGCAAACCATAACTAGGTTAATCTTCAGCACTCACTGGCTTAACTCCATCATTGCCAGCTAACTGTAACAGGCCAGAGTGGCCTATCTTAACCTTACCACAGTCAGACTGCAACCCCCATGAAGCACAGCAAGCCAGAGTTTGACTGTGGGTCGGTAGAATGTTTGTTTGTTTGGCGAAACAATATAGATCATCACCCTTACAACGTGTTATTGAGAGTGGGGTTTTGACTTGTTAGATGCTGGAGGAGAGGGATTCCTACAGAGGAGTTTCCCACCCACCCCATTAAACAAGGAATTGTTCAGAATTAAAATAAGCTTCTTCGTAATTTTTCTATTTCAGCTTCATTTTAACCTCAGATTTGCAGTTCCTTTGTCACCTCTCAAACATTTGCCGAGTGCATAAATCCAAACGTATATAGCACTGAGAGGGTTAAATAAATACACACATTTATAGAAGATCAAGATGAAGATAAAATAGTGGGATATGTATCATATATGATAGGTAGACCTATAAACACAATAGGGTTTATTAACTAAACGCTATTAAAACATTAAATGCAACATGCCAGGACTATAGCCAGAGCAGAGATATTGGATTTGCTTTGCAATTCAGAACCATTTGGAATTTAGTAAATAAAACCTTATCTGTCTGTGGATTTAACATCATGCAGCATGCGCCTTCAGCTGTTTGAGATTCTCCCTCAATTACCTCTCCATTCCCTTTATATTTTACCAATAGCTGCTTCTCTCTGTTAACTCTTTTAGCCATCACCTCCAAATTTCTCCAATTACCTTTTGTCTCAAATCCCTAATTGTACTGCGCTGCGGAATCTGTTGGCGCTTTATATATACCAGTAATAAATAAATTTAAATAATAACAGCACATCAAGGCTAAGATAGGCAAGATATGACAGTAGCTGAGTCGGAGAATTGTATAAACCACGCCAGACAATAAGGCCTTGCACAAAGTGACAATCACAACCGCAATTAAGAGTTCTGAGCTGCCTAATTGACAGTTATTGGGGGGTTCTCTTAGAGTGGAAGTGATTTGTGCAAAAACAAAACACTGATATGACCCACTCTCAGCAAGATTGCTACCACCACAAGTGGTTATGGTGGTTGGAGTAACCCTTTAAGATGAATTGGAAAAATGATCTGTCTGCTAGATTGGCCTAAAATGTGAAATTCTATTTGAATTAACACTTTAGTAAATAGACCCATAAGTGTCTACAAGGTGACTCTTAATATTGTGAGTGGACTGAGTATTTATAATGGTAATCTTGCCATTTTGTTCTATAAATGAGGATCTTGTATTTAAAATAATATTGGCAAATCCAGTATGAAATAGAGTAGATTGATATTAATAGGGTAAATTGCTTAACTCTCCGAGTTCCACAAAGTAAAAAGGTGTTATTTGTTAATCAGATTCATTAAAAGAAAAAAGGAATTATTGGCTATTAAATGAACATGGATGATCTAAGTTCCCCTCTGGATATATTAATAACAGTTTTATTATGAATAGATGACTCTACCAACAGATGTTGTCAGAGCTCTAGTAAAATTACTCCCATCCAACTAACGCTCTTGATATTGACTGGGAAACTGACAAACACATACATGTTGTTTTGTTACAACTACCATTACTCTCAGCCAGTAGTTGGTGATGAGCTCATACGGGTTGGGCCGGCCATCTTCACCTACTGATCCCATATGTCATACATGTTTTATTAGAATAAAACGCTTTCTTGTTTACCTTTTGTACAGCGCTGCGGAATATGTTACCACTATATAAATAATTGTACTTGGGAGATACAATCTAGCAATAAATGTTCGTAAACTAGTGAATTTTGTGCAGGGAGCAAAATTAACAAGTTTGAATAATTTTTCAACTTTTGCCACTAGAATTGGTGTGAAAAAAAGTGACTTTTTTTTTTATACAGCTGGTTGAAAATTTGGTTTTGATGGCTATTGCACCTATATCATGCACTCAGCATACAGTAGGGAATCTTTGGCACACCAAATGTTGTGGACTAAGGTCATTATGCTTTTACATTCATAATGTCCACGACATCTGGAGTGCTTAACATTGCCTGCCATTGGCAGTAGATAATGTGATGTTTCTCATGTGTGTTTGGGGCACAGGCATTGACTGTCATCCAATGCATGTACTGTGTATGTATAAGGCAGACACACTCTGCTTCAGCACGACAGAGCAAAAACAGACAAACAACTCCTTTCTTTATTTAATTTCTTTCTTTTTTTATCTCACAACTATCACAGAGACATAAAGCATGAAATCGTTCTAATTACTTTAAACAGAGCTACTACTCAAAACTCTCAGGCCTTTTTAGAAACTTGAAAGATTGGTATAGGCTGCCTAAGTGTAATAGGAGTTATGAGTCACAGAACCGATAGAAGAGGCAAGATGTGCGCTACCTCCCCTTACATAGTACTTTTATTTCTAAACACCCATTTCAGGCCGCCCAATGATTGAGCTTTTATTGTGGACAGCTACAATAAATGCTCAGTCATTGGGCCTTTATATACGTTTGTTTACTTGATGGCGGATTTGTTCATTTTAGGGCAAATCACCCAAATTTGAAATGTTTCCTACTCCGCTATTTTTCTAGTATTTTCATTTTGGCTGAAAAGTTTGCAAAGTTTGTATTTTCAATTTTGGGGAATGTAGACCACTGTAGTACCATTAACTGTGACGGTCATCAGAGCTTTGGTTGTGTCTTGCGCAATCAGAAGTTACTGCAGGACATTATGGTAGGGTTGCACAACTTTTTTTTTACTCCATGCTTGGAGGATTAAACACTAACTAAAGATAGAGTTCAGGGAATCCATAGACCCCTCTACGAGAAAGGATCGCAGGGGGCAAGATCTCCAGATAGAAATTTCAGCCTACCCTGGGATGAAAATGATTGCTCTGCCCTCTTATTCAATCTTTTAAGTTAATTAACAAAACAAAACTCAAGAAATATGTTATGCACTTGTTTCAAAATATTTGTTTTAGTAAAGATACAGTGTGTTCTTTAACATATACATTGTTGCTAGATTTTCCCACGATACATTTTGGAAGAGGCAATTGTAATCTGTCTGGCAGCCCAGCCATGATACAGACTTTCAGGGTTATTTGTGTAATTTGTCAGGAGTTCAAAGTGGATTGTTAGAGGTTTATCCACTAAACTCCAAATTGTAGCAAATTTAAATATGAATGAGACCAAATTAAGGCTACAGAGCTAAACTACATTGACCCTGTCCTTTTAACCCTACAATGTAAAGCAGTGGTTCCCAAGCCAGTCTTCAAATACCTCCTAACATTCCAGGATGTAAGGGTTACCCAATTGTGTCTAAGGTGTTTAAAAAAAAAAAAAAAAAACTTTAGACACAACAGGGTAATCCCTAAATCCTGGACTGGTAGGGGGTACTTGAGGACTGGGTTGGGAACACCTGATGTAAAGCAGTGCAGTTTTTTTTATTTTTTAGAAACCGTGATGTTTACAATGCTGGGTTACATCCATCTTCCTGTCAGCCACTAGAGGTTTTTCCACTGGACTGACCAGGTAAAACTCTGTCATGTGATGCAAAATAATGTGATGCCAAACTCAGTCTTTGATTTAATGCTTTCTTATGGGGAAGCTTTGATGGGCATTGGGTGCTCAGTGTGAATGTGCACCAGGTACCCAATGCGCCTTGATGATGTCACAGTATGAAGTGAGGTAAGCAGCACCGAGGAAGCGCTGGAAAAGGTAAGTAAAACTTTTGTTTTATTATTTTTTTAATCGCACACACAGGGCTGGGGAGCTATTTAACCAGAGACAGGGACAGTAAAGCGTTAGGATCCTGGGTTTCTGCTTCTAATGCTATAGTGATCCTTTAAGTTGGAAGTGTTTTCCAGGTTTCGATTGAACTTTGAATAACGCTGTCTTTGAGATTGTAACCTACCAGCAGGTGTGACTTAGTTTATAGTTTACTATAAACTCACTATTTGACATCCTTGGTGTTCTGTCATTAGAGATTAGAGGCTGTATCAGAAAGTAAATGGATACCGGAATAGAGCTATGAAATCTGTGAGAACTACTGTTACCGGGAACTGACATTAAAGTGTCAAGGTGTCTCTAATTTAATATAAAAGGGGCCCCAGATGGACCGGGTACAGTGCATCACTGATACCAGGCATAACAACCCGTGGTGTCTCCTTGGCACACAGGATGAAAGATACTTGGTTTCTTAGCCTGATCTCAATCTTGTCAGAGCAACTTGTGTTTATTTATATATTTTCATAAAGCTTCTATTGACTCACTTAATGGTTTCATTTCATATTCCAGGAAGTGGCATCCTTTGGGCATGTCTTAAAACGCAGCCATTACACATCTCGTTGAAACCTTTTTATGTTACAGTGAATTTTTATTTTAGAATTCCATCTCTCACTGAACTACAAATCCCATGAACCTTTGTACCATAAAATTAGAAAGATGGTTATTCAATAAAGTGAGCATTCAAGGTGCATTTTAAATTAAAGGTAAAAGTTTCCAAAATGGAAACAGTCTTTAAAGAGGCACTATAGGTACCCATACCACATTAGCTCATGGTGGTTTGGATGCAGTCAGTTTAACCCTACAATTATAATTAGTTATTGATAAATTGCAATAATTACCTTGCAAGGTTAACTCCACTTCTAGTAGCTGTCTACCAGACAGTCACTAAAGGCGCGTTCCCAGGTCGTTACTTGACTTTTGGTCACCTAATTGACTCTGGAAGTCCTCATGCTATGCACGAGGTCATCCAGAGTCAGCTGAAACCTCAAAGGAAAGCACTGATTTAATAATTTTCTACGTGGTTGTCCTAATGCGCTCGCAACGCTCGATGCACATGCGTATTAGGTCTCCAACGTCGGCTGACTTCAAGTAAGGATGTGCGGAGGCAGAGCCTGACCCAGCGCTGAGGGATATCGGCGCTGGAATCAGGTAAGTGAATTAAGGGTTTTTAACCTTTTGTGTGCTGTGGTGATGGTGGTGGTGATGAGGGGAGGAGTGAGCAAGGGGGGATCCTATAGGGTACTATAGTGCTCGGAATGCAATTTTGTATTCCTAGCCTTTAATTTTCATTTAAGTCACCTGTGCTTGCTGTTTTCTACATTGGCCTTAAAGGAACACTATAGTCACCTAAATTACTTTAGCTAAATAAAGCAGTTTTAGTGTATAGATCATTCCCTATGATTGACAGAGCCTGCATGAAAAAAAAAAAAACTGGTTTCACTTTCAAACAGATGTAATTTACCTTAAATAATTGTATCTCAATCTCTAAATTGAACTTTAATCACATACAGGAGGCTCTTGCAGGGTCTAGCAAGCCATTAACATAGCAGGGGATAAGAAAATCTTAATTAAACAGAACGTGCAATAAAGAAAGCCTAAATAGGGCTCTCTTCACAGGAAGTGTTTATGGAAGTCTGTGCCAGTCACATGCAGGGAGGTGTGACTAGGGTTCATAAACAAAGGGATTTAACTCCTAAATGGCAGAGGATTGAGCAGTGAGGCTGCAGGGACATGATCTATACACCAAAACTGCTTCATTAAGCTAAAGTTGTTCAGGTGACTATAGTGTCCCTTTAAATTTGAAATTCCCTTTGAATTCTACCTTTACAGGGCTATTCACTAATGTGAGAATTATTGGTGAATTTCAGATTTAAGGTCGAAGTAGCCAAACTGGGAAAAATTCTCTTAATCGGCTATGCTTCTAGTTCAGTTACTTTGACCTTGGATTTAAAAATTCACTTTAAATTCACCTCGAATTCTTACTATAGCAAATAACCCTGTTAGTGAATGACCTTGACAGTAGCTGGTAAAGGTTCATGGCAGATGTAATCCACTTGCGATCAAAGTCTTCCTATGCCAGGCTAACACTGATGATATTAGCACACTTATTTGTATTCCTCAAACGACATTGCACCTCACCGAGAAGCTGATTAATGCCTTTTATGAAGGGAGAAGTGATGGAAGGGAACAGTCCATTTTGGGAGGTCAGCCAGCTTTGATTGGCTGAGATCCCAGGCAGAAATAAACATTTTGCATTGATGTTTAATTCACTGCAAGGAAAAAAAAAGGAAATTGCTAGTGTATCTGCCTTTACTGCGGCACAGGACCTGTCATTGCAGATGTAGCCTTGACACGGTTTATAAAGACTGGGTGAATGAGGCTGAAAAGACATTATATGGGTCTAGTAAGATGCTGAGCTGGTAAGAATGAACTGCATCATCTTGAATGGAAGTACCCCCTAAATATAGCATAGGTCCCCCGAATCATAACCAAACAATGTTCCATCCTAAATCAAAGTCATTATAACCTCATCTTAACCGATTCAAGTCAGCAGTAATAATACTGCCTTGATATTGCAGAATTACTCAACATTTTAAAAGCACTTCTGTGCTGGTACCATTTTAAATCCATAACCGCAGCTGATTTCTATGGATACATTTGTGATACAATCCAGCACCAGTCCTACATCACTCAGGTTATAAGTGGCCTGACCTGATAAAACGATAATTTATTACTGCATTTAAGACCAGAGTTTTGCAGCATAAATGTATGACAACATGCAGAATCACAGGCTGGGAGTGAAGTTATTTAACCCCTTAAGGACCAAACTTCTGGAATAAAAGGGAATCATGACATGTCACACGTCATGTGTCCTTAAGGAGTTAAATCACGGGGTTAATTAAAATTCCTTTATTCATTCAACAGCTGACAAACAAACAAACTCAAAGTTGTTTATTCAGCAAACAGTTAACTGAAGTAAATTGAAAACTGAATTGGAAAAAATAGTCCAAAATAGTTGATTTACTAAAATTAACTCACATGTTGTGACGGGTTGGCCTGAATTTTATAATCTAGTTTTCCATTCACTGCAAATCACTGTTAACTGAATAAACTTAAAGTTTTGACACACAGTCTTGTTGAAAAATATCTAAAGGGGATATTCAATAACATGTGAATTGTGGAGCAATCATAATTAATTTAAAATCATATTTTAGATTAATGGAGTTTGGGAAAAAAACACAGTCAGCTATGTTTTTAGTTTCTCTAATTTGACCTCAAATTTGAAATTAAATTTTAATTGTCAACAATTTACACATTAATGCATTATTCACTAAATTCTGAATTGTAACAAATTGATATCCAAATGATAGAATTAAAGCAACGATAATTGATTACGAGAACTTCATCTCAACTAAAGTTACAGATTTGGTAAATGAGCCTCTCAGATTTAATTTGCTAGAATTCTGAGTTAGTTAAAGGGACACTCCAAGCACCCAGACCACTTCTGCCCATTGCAGTGGTCTGGGTGCACTCCCACCACTCTTAACCCAGCAAGTGTAATTATTACAGTTTTTATAAACTGCAATAATTACACTTACATGGTTAAGTCCTCCTCTAGTGGCTGTGTATCAGACAGACACTAGAGCAGGCTTCCCAAAACTCTGGCCCTCCAGATGTTGCTGAACTACAACTCCCATGATTCTATGAATGAAATAGACTGAGAATCATGGGAGTTGTAGTTCAGCAACATCTTGAGGGCCAAAGTTTGGGGAAGCCTGCACTAGAAGAACGACTGGGCTCTTAAAACATGAAGAGTGTTTTAAACGATGCTGGACATCCTCACGCTATGCATGAGGACCTCCAGCGTCGCCGGAATCCCTATAGGATAGCATTGAATAATGCTTTTCTATGGGTAGTTCTAATGTGCGCGCGTGCCCATTGACGCGCATGCACATTAGTTCTCTCCCGCCGGCTGACGGTGGGGGAGGAGCGTGGGCAGAGCCTGACCCAGCGCTGAGGGACATCGGCGCTGGATTCAGGTAAGTTACTGAAGGGATTTTAACCCCTTCAGCATAATGGGATGGGGGTGGGGGACACTTCAGGATTCTGCAGTGCCAGAAAAACAATTTGTTTTCCTGGCACTGGAGAGTCCCAATATGAAAACCTTCAGTAAATTATCCGCTCAGAATTCTTCATTCACCCCCAGTCTCCAGCTAGACCATAACACAGTGAATCTGTAAATTTGGTGAAACAGACGTGATAACAGTAGTGACAACCGTCTGTGCAAACAAATGTGTCCATGTATTCATTTTGCGGAAATGCTCTAGGCACTGTAAATACATTGTATCATCTACAGCAGTTGAATCAACAATTATTATAAGCCACTAGGTCTTGATACATTATTATCTGTTTGTTTGTTTTTTTGTTTATAATTTGCTTTCAATATTTATATTTTTTTTTATGTATTTTTTTTAATTCATTTTTTTTTACCATAATATTTAATTTATATGTTAGTGTGTTTAATATATTGATCAATGTAAACAACTGCAAATAGCAATCAGCTTTTACTCTCACTCATTTTGGGCAGACTGGGATATGTATGCTCCAGTGCAGTGTAAGGATTAAAAGCCCTGCATTGCATAATCAATGTTTTTAATTCACAGTGTGAAATAACACACCACACAGTGTGGGTTTCTAAAACACAATCTATGTTCACAAATAACAGGCATATGCAGATGATATTTATACATTCACCCAATGTGTGGGAACCTCTCTGATTTTGGTATGCAGCTTAATGAATCAGAATTGCAAGTTGGCTTGCAAAATGATTAGAAAATGGACAATAATCAGGACGTGGACACTCCATTTCCACTAGTTTTCAAGTATGCCGGGAAATCGCAGTGTTCTAATTACCTAACTTTTTGATATTGTGATTATTGACCTTAGAATGAGGAAAGACTGTAACTTTGCTGTGTTAAGACCTATAAATGCTGCAGAATGAAAATTCTCACTGTTTACATTTAGAATGTGTCTGGAATTCTATGTCCTTTAAGTAATCTGCTGGGTGTATTCACTGAATTGAGACTTCAAAGTGAATTTCAGATTCAAGGTAAAAATAGCCAAAGTGAAACATCATCTAAGTCATCTGCGCTTCCAGTTTGGATACTTTGGCCTTAATGGGACACTCCAGGCACCAAAACAACTTAGTCTAAATGAAGTTGTTATGGTGCCAGGAGACCCCTGGATGCTCTCTTATGTCATTGGATTAACCTATTCTCGAATGGTTTAACCCCAAAGTTGCCTCCAGCATTGATGTCCAATCCTTTCCAGGTAGCATCCAGCTTCTGACTTTTCAGATTTAGTAAGAGCGGAGTGCCACCAGGCAGGGCACTCTGATTGGCTGAGAGTGACCAGCTGATGCTCTTAGCCAATGGATGACTCCCCATTCACAAAACTGGTTGGAAAGAAATGTAGTATATAGTAATTTTCCTTGTATATTCATTCATTCATAAATTGTTACGGGCAGTTTAGAAAGGGGTATCAATACTATTCTAATCTTTCTGAATGAAAGCCGTAGCATCTAACAGGGGCACTCAAAGCACCTAATACAGGACAACTTATTCTAGTTATTATTGTACCAGATGCCTGTGGGCTCCGTACCTCCAGGTTATTTTGGAACTGTTTTACTTAAAATAGGGCTCTTGGCCCTTCATCTTTGGCTTAGAAAATAAGTTGGGGGTATAGTTTATGAGCTGTACAAGTTAAGGTGCATCTAGTGTGCCATGAAATATTTATTCATATATTATACAGGGTTTATTGAATGGAACTGAAAAAGGTGAAAAAACAAATTTTATTAAATTTGGAAAAGCAGCTAAATCAGAGAATTTCTTCCCAAAGTGCTATTTTTAGCCTACATATTTCATTGTCAGATCATGACACTTATTTTATATGTTAAAAAAAAATAAAAAAATAATATATATATATATATATATATATATATATATATATATATATATATATATATATATATATATATTTTTTTTATTAAACACAGGATTGTCGAGAACTGGCAAGCGTATTGTAAATGTAAGGATGAGATAACATCATAATAATAGTTTTTGTTCTGGTGAGTTAATTATGGCTTAAAATGTGAATTTGTCTTGTTAATTTCACATAAAGATTGCTTTTATTTTCAGCAGATTCTAACACACTTTTAGTAAGTAAAAAGTAAAAATATCAGACGTATTGCAGAATCATGATGTAATTCCATTGCATCTGGTCCAGATGAGATTATCAGTCCTGGGGATGATGTCTCTAACCTCTGCCCCACTAATACATCCACTGGTGATACAATCAACCTTAATGTCGGTCACTCAATGTGAGTCTGAGTCATCGTTTGCAGCAGTAATTAAAACAAGATTCATTTTATTCTACATTGGGGGTCAGAGAGCTGTGCTGCGCCTGGAAACAATTAATACATTATTTTCACTCTCTGTGGGATCCGCAAATAGCTGACATATTATGGGAAAAATTTACTTTTTAAGCAGAAGTAGATTTTTGATTATATTACTTATTTCTGAGAATATTAGATACATTTTAGACACTGATGTTACTTTTGCAATTATTTTCAGATTCATGTTGTGCAACCTTTATGACACTGATTGGTTTAAAGTGATGGACTAACTCCTCCCATATCTCTCCCAGCCAATGAGGGTCATGCAGGCTGGACAAAACTGATTCTCATAACGCGCATGTATCAATCCTGTGTTCTTAATGTAGTTAAGATGGGGGCGGTTCAACATTCCTCAATGGTCTTACATTAGACAATTCAATTGAACCTAATTTAGAGGACAAACACAATATATATATATATAGCAAATTGTAACATGCATGTTTGCTGTAGTCTGTAAACAATGATGTCCTGGAGCAATCTCTCAGCTAATTGCTGCTCTAAAATTTATAAAGCACAGCGAAATGAGGATTTTCTAAAAACACCAGAAGCACCCCATGCACCGGCAGGGATCCAGGTAACTGTCAGACTGTTAAAGGAACACTCCAAATACACCAAGCACTTCTGCTTTATGTGACACTGTCGTATTTGTGACAGTTTATAAAAGTGCAATTTCTAATAGAAATCAGCTCTTTTTATAATTGGGGCAAAGACGCCTCCAATGCTGTCACTCAGACAGACAGGGAAGGTTTTCTTTCTGTGTTTTTAGCTACACAGAGCTAACGGAACTCGTCAGGTGAGCTGCTCCAGCGTGTGACTGGCTCCCGTCCCCTTCTCATTGAGCTGTTGTCATGATTACTATGTGACCCAACACGCAAAACTATATTAACACAAACAATGTATACCGGACCTTAGAATGGCCGGACTTAACGTAAAAGAGAATGGTGGAAATAACAAGCCACTGTCGGGGATACAGAATGAGACAATACGAATAAACTAGTCAAGGGTCAGGATACCAGAAGAAGGGAAAGTCAAAAACATAAGCCAAAGTAAAAAAACAGAAATACAATACCAAGAATGCGCTCTCTGACAACCAACAAGTGGAAACCATGACAGGGCACTGAGAAAAGGCATTACAGGGTTTAAATATGCCTCTCAGTGCTGTGATTGGTTATTACATGGCCTTTGACCCCAAAACGTGCATGTGCGTCGATATCGTGATGTCACACGCACGCGGCGCCATCTTTAATGTGAGCAGTGCGCCCTTTAACATTGAGAACGGGACCGCAGTGGCAGGCATCCCTTTGAATGTCGCACCAGCCAGGACCCATCTATATTGAGGATCGGGCGGCACTACGCCGCAATCCAGGTAAGTTATCGTTTCCCTTTTCGGCACGACTGCCCTGCTCATGTGTGGCTGCACTGATCGGGGACTTACTTTTTATTAGAAGTATCAACGCGGCCGCGTCAATCTTGTGCCATGACAGCTGTGAACAGGTTAGTGTACAGAGGGCAATGAAAGAGTTGACATATTTTTGAGTAAAAATTTAGGAAACATACACAAATGCTAAGGGGTTTATTCACTAAACATTGAATTGTACTGAATTGAAAAGTGATGATTTGAAACCTTTCACATAGAATAGATAACAGCTTGGTCACTTTATCCCAGGTATTGCCATCAGGGTTTCCTTGTCCCAAAATTCACTGTTTAGTGAAAAACCCCCCAAATTTCTATTTTGTGTCAGAGGAATGAGCATTGCGTTCCACATTGTGATGATTTATTTATAGAAGAATAGATAGATTATATATAAAAACATAGAATGTGACGGCAGATAAGACCCATTCGGTCCATCTAGTCTGCCCAATTTTCTAAATACTTTCATTAGTCCCTGGCCTTATCTTATAATTAGGATAGCCTTATGCCTATCCCACGCATGCTTAAACTCCTTAACTGTGTTAACCTCTACCACTTCAGCTGGAAGGCTATTCCATGCATCCACTACCCTCTCAGTAAAGTAATACTTCCTGATATTATTTTTAAACCTTTGTCCCTCTAATTTAAGACTATGTCCTCTTGTTGTGGTAGTTTTTCTTCTTTTAAATATAGTCTCCTCCTTTACTGTATTGATTCCCTTTATATATTTAAATGGTTCTATCATATCCCCCCTGTCTCGTCTTTCTTCCAAGCTATACATGTTAAGATCCTTTTAACCTTTCCTGGTAAGTTTTATCCTGCAATCCATGAACCAGTTTAGTAGCCCTTCTCTGAACTCTCTACAGTATCAATATCCTTCTGAGATACGGTCTCCAGTACTGCGTACAATACTCCAAGTGAGGTCTCACCAGTGTTCTGTACAATGGCATGAGCACTTCCCTCTTTCTACTGCTAATACCTCTCTCTATACAACCAAGCATTCTGCTAGCATTTCCTGCTGCTCTATTACATTGTCTGCCTACCTTCACCTGGTTTTATTTGTCATAAGGGGGTGCTGACACTCAGCCTGTCCAATATGGACAAATAAATTACATTTCCAATGTGGAAGTGAATGTGCTCCTTAGTGATACGGTAAGGAGCATGGGCCGTATGTGTACCTGGGGGACAAAAACCAAAAACAGATTTTACCGCACTCCTAATGGCTTCAAATACACTGGACGACTCTTGTCTGAGAATGCATGCTTCTTATCCAAAACAGTAGAACACCAAGTCAGAAATACAAAATATAAGTGTAGAAATATAAATTCTTCAGCACTGACAGTCCAATCAGAAAAGAGACACCAAAAACAAACTAAAACAAACACTTTCTGTAAAAGGAACGCGTTTCGCGCCTGTAGCAAGAATCTTCCTCAGCTGTGTACCCGAGGGACCCTCAGTTTGTGTTATACCCTGGAAAATGGTTTGGCATAGAACTAGGAGCTGACACCAGTAGCCTTCTAGCACTATAACCACTACAATGGGCTGCAGTAGTTATGGTGCTTAGAATTCCACTCCTTCCATTGGCAATGTGCACTTGAGTGCTTGTCATTGTCAGCTTTAACTTCAGGTCTCTGATATGTTTGGATGAAGTCCTTGTCTCTTAACTGCAATAGCTGCCTGATCTATGGTAACAAGAGTTTGCCTAAAAAAGGGAACGGCACCATGATTTATAGGGAACATGATAAAGGTTTGTCTGGTCTTCAGCCATCGCAAGGCCATGTATTCTTGTGCTATCAGCCTGTCTACTCCAGATACTTGTTGACGTTTACCTTGACCTTTATAGGATTTTGTGCTTGAAAAACGACCTTGTCTGAAACATCGTAATTAAGAATTCTGCTCTATTTTGTCTCACTTATGGTCCGGTTATAAAATCACGTAGATTTATTCACTAAACACTGAATTATAGTTTAATTCAAAGTCAACTTAAAAATGTATTGTAAAATAACCAAGCTTTATTATAACAGAGGTACTCGAACATTGTAAAGTACAGATTGTTCAACTGATACCTTAAAAAAATAAATGCAAATAATTGACTTTCAATATTCTAAAGACTCACATGGTTTATTAGACTTGGGAATTTGTTTCGGGCTGTTTTCCTCTATATTGGTTGCTTTTTCTTACTTGATCTGTGAAATTCTGTGACATGTAGCTGAAAATAAGGTATCCTAAAAAAATGTCTACTTTTGGCAAAACCTGTCAAGTCGACTAAGTGGTGTGAATATCGGTCCTACTGCTTTAGTCATTAAATATTGCTAAAGTAATCAATGGACTCCATTCCTTAAACATCTACTCTTTAGGAATAAAAAAAGAAATCATAAGGCTCAATGGGTCCTTGTAATTTAAGTTTTGGACTGGATATTTATTTTAATGGGATAGATAATTTTAGAATAATTCTGAGGCTGGCTAATAAAAATATTGCCATTTGTCCAGCCCTTTCCAAATGTGGGCAGCCTTGCAAGCAGAATACAATAACCAATGCTACCTCCTCATCTCCCAAAAGTAGAATAAAAAATTAGGGGGGCAGCTTGCCTAAAAAAGAGACAGTTCTTTACTGAAATGGGCAACTGCATTACCTAGCCATTCACACAAGGCTGCTAATTGAAGAGCTTTCTCAGGTGGTGGATGGCCTAAGCTTCATTTGCAGATTGCAAATGCATAATATGATGGACCTGCACCGCTCATTCATGATAGATTTTTCGGGAATCTTTCGATGTGGGACACTAGGGAACAAACCTCTGGCAACAAGGCAAAATCAAGACTGTCCTGCCAACTCCAAGCCTGTTTGAAGTTATGTAACCCTGAAAAGCTACTCCACAAAGCTTGCAAAGATGTGTTTCTGTGAACACAGAATGTACTTATAATTTATGTGACTTTAGCATTTTTTTCAAGAAAAATCATATATTTTATGTTTGTTCTTTATTCCATGTTGCAATACTGAGACTGGGGAAAAGTCCCATTCTAAAGCAGAATGACCTTAAAGGACCACTATAGTGCCAGGAAAACATACTCGTTTTCCTGGCACTATAGTGCCCTGAGGTTGCCCCCACCCTCAGGGTTCCCCCTCCCGCCGGGCTCTGGGGAGAGGAAAGGGGTTAAACTTACCTTTTTTCCAGCGCCGGGCGGGGAGCTCTTCTCCTCCTCCTCTCCGCCTCCTATCCTCCTCTTTGGCTGAATGCGCATGCGCAGCAGGAGCTGCGCGCGCATTCAGCCAGTCTCATAGGAAAGCATTCATAATGCTTGCGTCTTCTCACTGTGATTTTTCACAGTGAGAAGCACGCAAACACCTCTAGTGGCTGTCTCATTGACAACCGCTAGAGGCTTTAAAGGCTGGATTAACCCATTTATAAACATAGCAGTTTCTCTGAAACTGCTATGTTTATAAATAAAAGGGTTAATCCTAGAGGGACCAGGCACCCAGACCACCTCATTAAGCTGAAGTGGTCTGGGTGCCTAGAGTGGTACTTTAAGCACAGATAGAAAGCCTCAGTTAGTTCACTAAATAAGAAATGTATATTGAATAAATTTGACAAGGACAGTGTGAAGTGTGCGATTGGTTTCCTCTGCAAGCTTGTGAAATGGAAAAAATGTTTGTGTAGAATATTTCTCTATCGGTGCTATTCACTGATACTTGAGATTTTTTTTGTTTATGACCACAATGTGGGAACTGATTCACACTGGCAACTGCTTTAGGCAGAAGCTTTGTGTAGCCACAAGAGTCTCAAGAGGCAGTATGAACAGGGGAACAGAGATATAAAATAGAATGTCTATTAGTGCAAGAGAACAGCAAACCAGTGTCATGGCACAAAACCGAATGTTTGCAAGAATGAGACATATCTTGAAAGAAAAGAATGAAGTGAAATGTATCAAAGTATTTCCAGATCAGGTGGCAAATGATTAACAATTTTTTGGGACACTCAATTTTTGATTAAATGTCGATTCTGCAGAATTTCGAAACTGAATCTAAAGAACAAAAAAAAGGTAAAAAAATGGCCTGCTAATTACATACGTGATATGTTAAGTATGTGTTTTGAAGCACATGGTAGGAGCATTTTCCCACTATTTGGTTCACATATTAACTGAGAAAAAGTAACCAATAGAGGGGAAAACAAGCAGAGAAGTAAAAAATAATAAACCTATATATATTTAAATACATCTATATATTTTATAATTAATAAATTTATTTGTTTTACTGCTTCTCATCTTATTGCTCAATGTGAATACAATTAACGTTTAGTCACCCCTAACCATTAATTGTGTGAGGGGCAAATAAGGCCGTATAGGAAAGGGGGAAATAAGTCGGTTGTGGTGTGCCGGAACCGACGTCGTGGTAGGCCTGTAATAAAAGAGGGCCCACCCATGAGGTGTAATGAAAAGTATAAATTAGAGGGAGTAGAGGGTGGGGACATGCGAAAAGCAAAAAATACGTACGGGACGGAGGAAGGTGAGTAGGGGGTTTAAGTAGGGAACATGCCCCTCCCACAACTGCAGGCCAAGCCTTTACATTTATCTTTTTTCCCCATCAATCGCCTATTTTTTTTTTTGGGTGACACGGGTGGAATTCGGAATTATAACCCGAACCGAACATGTTCAAAATTGCGCATTTCATATGGCTCGTGATTGTGGTACATTTCAGCTCTGAACTTTGCCTGAAATTCGGGTGAACTTACATTTGGCACAAAATGAATATCCAAGTCTAATCATTACAGTCTAATCTAAGCAAGAAGCAAAAGCTACATGTCAAGGCGTATTTAATAGAGTTAAGGTCAAATAAACCCCAAGGATTGGCAGATCTTCAGAATGCTCACCAGCTTTGCTATTGCCAATAACGTCTCTGCCTGCTTTATCCATCATGTGACACATTTGGCCATCTTTGTGACTGCAAGATCTGCAGAACATAATGGCTTGTGTTAAGAAAGAAATATTACATGTTAGGACAAAATCCTATTTACAAACTATGTGCATATACATACAAATTGCAACCAAATGTTATTTTAACATAAAAGGGAACCTTCTTCCGGTTGTATATAGTGGACCCCTCTAATACTGGGAAATAATTAAATGAGAAATTTATAGAAAAAGAAGAGATTGCTCATCAAATAATGTATAGAGCATACAATAGATATTTTTGTTAAAATTGATTTACCAATTAAGCCTCTTTAAGAATAAATAAAACCTATATATTGTAAAGGGGGTGGTTAAGTTTTTTTTCCAACCATTTTATACTTTTTGTTTTGACATTATCTAAATACTAGTGATATTCATGTGTGTCACATTTTATTTAAGTGTTCCTTTTGATTAAATAAAGATGATTGTATTTAATTATGTATTCACATGCATAAGTATTAGGACACCCTCTTACCTTATTTCTTATTTTTTCTTCATATTTTCTTTTACTCTGTAGTCTCCAACTTGTGTCTATGCTTTTGATAAACAACCCAACAAAACACATCTTTGTCTGTGAATAGACCTACCTGTATGTCAGTGTTTGGCACACGATCTTCAATCCCAGAATGCACTACACCAAACCGTTGGTTGCACACATTGCTTTCTTGGATAGAACCAGTTGTCTTGGGGTGGCCAAATAGATTAGTATGCTTTTATGGAAGGCGCCTCCATGTAAATGTATTTCTTGGAGAATTGTGTACGACAATGCATAGATTAAATTTTATAACCTACCTGCGGGAGTCCTTTCTATCCATGCATTTGTTAATAGCCTTTTCACTTTAGAAGGTTTGCATTCGTCATTATCCCTGAACTTTAAGTAAATGTTCCCTTTGTTGGGCCTTAGTTCTGCCAGACTGTTTCATTATTTTATTATTACTGCTTCTATGGGTAATCTGCATAGCCCTCAAGCAGATTTATCCTCTCTGTTTGAAGCAAACCATTTTTATTTAAATCCCTTTGATACTTGGTACTTGCACCAAAAATGTTGACTCAATATTAAACAGTTTGTAATAACGGTAAACGCAAATAAAATAATTAAGTAAGAGAAGACATGTCAAGGAGATTAGGGGGACGGAATGTTAAGTATTTGAATTCAAAGTTGAACGGAACAAATGAAGGGGTCATTTAACTTTTCATGTAGCTAAATTAGCTGTCAAGGTTTAGAAATATTTTTTTTCCCAGTGCCTGTGTATTTGGGAGAGTCTGGGACCAGCTGGATTTAGTCTTCCTTTTGGAGGTCATAATTATTTTCGTTGTGCGTGTATAAATCACACAAATTGGCCTCAGTAAAATGGAGTTAGACTTGTGTTACAGGAACATGGTGTTAATCTATACTATTTTTAATGCAATATGCAGTGTAAATAATGCTGATGAAACGTATTACACTGAGACCCAAGAATATACCCAATATTTGAGACCAAAGAAATCCCTCAAAATACTTTTATTTTGAACAAGGACTAGCCTTTGTCCTTAAACATGTGGTGAGACACATCTATACTTAAAAATATGTAATGAACAACCATAATGATACATAAAAAAACTATAATTAATGAGAATTTATCTATGTATATGTGACATCAAATTAAAGCCCCTTTTGCCCTCTAAAAAATGGTATATAATATATGTTGGTGCAATAAATGGCAGAGATGCAAATTGTGTTTGAACACAAACAGCAGAAAATGCAAAAATGGCTTGTGTTCTTAAGCATAAGACAAGCTTTTGAAGCTGTGTCCTTAAGAGGTGAATAGCCACTAATTGAGGTTTTACACTTCTGGATTGAAAGTGAGTTTCAGAAAATTGTAGCTGCTAGAATCTGTATGTTTCTTTTTAGCACTGCATTCCACAGGGATGTGGACTGTCTCCCTTGAACATTTCAGGGGTGTAATGTTTGCCCAAATTATGGTGTGTGTGTGATGTCTGCCCAAACTATGAGGTGAATTAAAATCTGTCTGATAAATATAGAAACATTAACAACTTCCAATAAGCCATTAATGTCAACACATTCACAACTTGTAGAATTTTAACACTATAGTGATTTTAACACTACAGGATCAGGTATACATGTTTGTGTTCCTGACTCTAAAGTGTTCCTTTAAAGGACCACTCTAGGCACCCAGACCACTTCAGGTTAATGAAGTGGTCTGGGTGCCAGGTCCAGCTAGGGTTAACCCATTTTTTTTTTTTTTTATAAACATAGCAGTTTCAGAGAAACTCCTTTAGTTCTGATAGGCTGTAACCGGCCTTTGACCCCAAAGTCAGTTACCAGGTTTCATTTCCATAATTGCTGCTCAGCATTAACCCTTCTGTGGATTAGTTTGCTGCTCGGCACAACTTTTCCTGTGTGGACAGTAAATGTCATTAACCACATTTCTATAAGCGGATGAATGCTCGGCACAACTCCGAGTTCGCTGCGAACCGTTCGGGACATCACTAGTTATCAACACTTTAAATTAAATATTGTAAGCTTAGTTATTTTAGTATCATAAAGGATTTGATAAACTACAGAAAACACTACTTTTTTTTTTTTTAAATAAAAATTGACCAATATCTCAAAAACTTTCAGAATAAACTTTACAAACATCTCATGACAAACGAAAGCAACTTCACCAAACCTATAACAATCTATTTTTAATCAAATGGAGTAATTAAAGTGAATGAAGCAACCAGCTAACAATTAAATTGATTAACGTGATTATTGATGTAAGAAATACATATATACACTGGACTTGTGGAAACAAATAAAATTCTTTGTAATTGTCAAAGAAATTTATTCCGAATTGTTTTTCTAGTCGTTTTATCTGTACAGGTAAGATAACGTGGAGATTTGGAATCGACTTATTCTGGTATTGAGTAACAGGATTGTTATTTGGACAAGTAATGAATAACTCATTTTTGCTCAAGTCCGATATACACTATACACAAATCGTCCGATTTGAACACAGAAACTTGCTCTAATATCAATTTCAAATTGGAACATAATCAGCTAATGACACACATTTCACCTTTTTGACTGTGATCTGGTTGACAACACTTACAAGTTAATGGCCAAAAATCAGAATGTGTTATATAGGTAGACAGTGGCGTACAAATGACCCATGGGGCCCCGGTGCGAAAATTGATCCGTGCCCCCCCCTGCGCTTACTCGGGGCGGGTTGGGGCCGCAACACATGGCGGCGGGCACCTGGTCGCAGGGGTTGCAGGGCTGCGACCCTGTGACCGTGGTATGCACACACACTTAAAGGACCACTACAGACACCCAGATCACATCAGCTCAATGAAGTGGTCTGGGTGCCAGTTCCTTCTAGTTTTAATCCTGCAGCTGAAAACATGCGGCTATGTTTCACTGAGGGTTAATCCAGCCTCTGGTGGCTGTCTCATTGACAGCTGCTAGAGGAGCTTCCGCGATTCTCACTGTGAAAATCACAGTGAGAAGACGCTGAGCGTCCATAGGAAAGCATTGAGTAATGCTTTCCTATGGGTGGTTTAAATGCGCGCGCGCGCGTCTCTTGCCGCGCATGTGCATTCGGAGCTGAGAGGCGGAGGGATCCCCAGCGCCAAGGGAGTCCGACGCTGGAGAAAGGTAAATGCTGAAGACACACACACACACACACTCACGAACAGACGCATACATACTAGCTAACAGACACACACATTTACTGACAGACACACTCAGCGACAGACATACATACACTTTCACTGACAAACACACACTAACACACACACACTAACACACACACACACACACACACACACACACAAACACTAACACACAAACACATACTAACAGACACACAAACACACACACATTTTTTTTTTTTTTTTATTTAATCCCCCCAGCCTCCTTACCTTTTGGAGAGCTGAGGGGATTCCCTGGGGTCCAGTGGTGCTGCTGGGCGGGCTGGCTGTCTGGGTAGCCGGCGCGCGAGGGAGCACTCTCCCCTGAGTGCTTCCTCTTCAGCTCCCTCGCGCGCCGCATAGGGATGCCAGTGCCGGAAGATGACGTCATCTTCCGGCTCCTGTATCAGTGCGGTGCGTGAGGGAGCTAAAGAGGAAGCACACAGGGGAGAGTGCTCCCTCGTGCGCCGGCCACCCAGACAGCCAGCCCGCCCGCCAGGTGTCAGCAGGGCCAGCCTCAGGGTGGCCCTGAGGTGGCCGTCTCCTGGGCCCCCCAGGAGAAGAGGCTGGCCCTGTAGGTACATACCGGGTTCCAGGGGCGGCCGGGCCCCCTGGTGGGCCGGGCCCGGTCGCAGCCACGACCCCTGCAACCCTGGTATGTACGGCACTGTAGGTAGATAGGATTTTTGTGTTGACCTTCTGAAAATGTACTGTTAAAGCATTTTTCATATGAGGTACACATCACTGTCCATAACCTATTAATTCCATTGCATAGTGAAAGTATTTTCGATATGTTCAAGTCTTGTGATGTTACTTTTTATTAAGAAGTAAAATTTTTGTCCACACAACAATTTTTCTGATTTCACTTTAGATTTGGTTCCATATCAGTTGGGTGTTCCTTCAACTTAGTTTCACTGACTAACAATACTCTACATTAATGGTTCCGATTTCCAAATCCAAATATTATCATAGACATGTGTTAACTTATTTTCTAATTTTTATAGAAGGCTATCCATTTTTTCAAAACTTTCTGTAGACATTGTAGATGCATTTTGATTGAATTTTGAGGTAGATATTTAATATTACATTTATTTAGAGATTGATCTGATGTTTGGGTTTTCAGGAAAGTTTGTATTTTTTTAAGGAAAACCATAAAAGTGCTTAGGACTTCAGTAGTGTCATGATTACCCGATCGATACGCTCAATTTGGTCCTCTTTGCAGGTCATGCATTGTTTGGCTCTGTGGACTATGTTCCATAGCAATATTGATTCTGCCAGCTCAAACGGCACATACTTAAATCCAGAACATTCGCAGAATGTCTCTTCTGACTTGGAAGTGTCCACGTCACACAGATGACCTTGTTCTCAAACTTTTTGAATTTACAGGGGTGATGTAGACCAATCCGAACTTGGGTAACCCGACTTATATCCTGTTTTAGCCCTTATTCATTGCCCTATAGTGGATTCTACCTTTTGTACCAGATTAGTGAGTTCCTGTTTGTATTTCTGGTTTTGACCTCGGCTAGTTTCATGGATATTTGAGTAACTCTGAAATCCTGACCCAGCTTGTTTATCATATTTCTGTCTATCTGTAATCCTGACCTCTGCTACTTTGTGTCTTTCTGTTTATTGAGTTAAGTCTGGACACTCTAAGGCCTGGTAATATTTCTATTTCTGTTTCTCTTTTTTTCAGTTTCCATTTCCTACGAGTTTGGTATACTTCTCGTGACAATTCAATGTGCAGAAAAATATCTGGATTTTTTTTTTTTTTTGCATGGGGGTGAGGAGGAGAGGGCAGGGACAATACATACAGTTGCTATAATATCTAATATTGTTCTGATCTAATTCAAATCAAACCTGATTTCCACTTTGGAGTCTTTTTGGGTCTTTTTTTTTTTAGCCGAAAAGATTATATTAAGGCCCATGTATGTACCTCAATTAACTTTTTTTTTTTTCTTTTCTTCTCAAACAGGTCAAATGTGAGGGTCCAAAGCTGGTGCCATTCTTGAAGGCCACATGCGTCTACTTTGTGCTTTGGTTACCAACATCTAGCCCATCTTGGTTCAGTGCTCTTATCAAGTGTCTTCCCATCTTTTGCCTGTGGGTATTCCTATTAGCCCATGGGGTTAATTTTCTAGTTAGCCACAGAAGTGCCAAGAGAATCTTTGCAGGATTAATTTTCTCAGCGGTGGGAGACGCCTTTCTAATTTGGCAGGAACAAGGCTACTTTGTGCACGGTGAGTGAAGTAAAGCTATTATCTATTGTTGAAAAAGACATTATACATCAGCATTCTACTTCACGAACAGGAATTAAATCCATGGATTATTTTTCAATTCTTCCCATGTGAGTGGAATAAAAAAAGTTTGCCTCATACACACATAAAAGTAATGCACCCTACAGCAATATTTTACAGTGTGCTAATGTTGGTTTATTGGAAACAAGTTACAGACTAAGGTATTCCTCAAAAAAAATATTATTATTCCAGATTTATAATATAAGATGATTCAGGTTGGAACATCTAGAACCAAAAAATACAATAAGATAAACCATGTTTCACTAAACTCTGAGTTTTAACAAATGAAATCCAAATTGCAAAATTCAAGTGAAAAATAGCCAATCTGTTAGTTGGAAGAATTTTTCAGATCTGCACTTTTGACCTAAATTTAGCAAATTGGATTTAAAGACTCCAAAATTCATAAATTTTATTAATGTCATACAGTCACATTTATATTAAAGACAGGAGGTGCGTATTATGCATCTAGTTTCTTTTACTACTCAGAAGAGCAGCTGCGTCGTCTAAATTCAGTCACTCAAATGTTAAATAAATGCATTGTGAAACAAACAAAACAGACAATGGATGAGCCGATTCATTTGATTCGTTATCCGAGGGTCCGTCCGTGGTGCCGGAAAAAGATGATTGACTGTTCGAGTACAGCCACTAAATGTTGATGTTTATTCACACAATAAATGACAAGTAATATAATGTGTTTTGCACTACCCTAGTTTATTTTACTTATTATAAAATATTACAGTATTGTATATTAAAGCAATTTTTGTCTGTTAAAACTTCTTTAACATTTTGCATGCCCTGTATCATAGCGCAGACCAAATCAAATTTAAAAACTTTATGATATACTCAAGTTAAAAATCCATCAAGGCAAATTTAGCCCCATACATACAAAATAACACAAGGTATCCAATTCTGATAGCCACATCCATTGCATTCATTAAGGGAAGAATAAAGCTAAAGGATTGCTGATATGTGCTTGGTGTTGCTGATCTTCCACCGTACGTCATGCCCATTTTTTAAAAATTTTTTTTTATATTTGAACTGGTTACTTTGTGTTTTGTGTCCATTGTGCTTTATTGGCATAGATGTACAGTATTTGTATTTTTGGCAGGGGGGGAGGGGGAATATATAATAGTTTGTAATATGATTTGGTAGAGAAAGACTCTGTTTGATTACCTTTGTATTTTTCATTTGCGGCAGGAAGGCTAGCACTCTATATTGAGCATTGAAGTGCTGGTGTAGTTTGCATCTTTGCACTTTGGTTTTTTTGCATGCCCAGTATCAAAAACCACTTTAGCCTTCAGACAGTTAAAATGATCACCCCATGCTCCAGAAAAGTGTCCCTCTATGATAATGGGCTTCTATTTCTTTACAGTGACGCAGATATGTTATTGTGCAAGAACCATGCATGCGACCTCTAACCCACAATAGCTCCATTCAACAACGTAGGGAGTAAAATCTTTCCCACGTTTTTTTTTTTCTCTTTTCCAGCCAGGGGAAGTTAAATTCAACATGCACGGGGGTGGTAGAGGGCAGGAGGATTGGAGCAGCTGTCATTTTTGGCAGGCCCTAAAGTCTTCTTTCAGTTTCTACCATATAAATATATATCTATAAAAAAAATCTATTGCTATTTTACTGGCACAGTTGAATTTGATGCTATTTATGTTTCTTCATGGCTAACCTTTGGCACTGCATCTGTTTTAGACTACATTCCTTATGATGCTCAAGAATACTTTTTGCTGGCTAAATGTTATGGGAAGCATAGTACATAACAGCTGAAGTGCCAAAGGTTTGCCATTTGTGCAGTAAATCTTTGGGGGATATGCAACTTTTTTAGGGTGCCCGAGATTTCATAAAAAGGAGGTCTGTGGATTAAAACAAAAATTGAGAATGCATTAAAGGAACACTATAGTCACCTAAACAACTTTAGCTTAATGAAACAGTTTTAGTGTATCGATCATGCTTTTCAGCTTTCACTGCTCAATTCTCTGCCATTTAGGAGTTAAATCACTTTGTTTCTGTTTATGCAGCCCTTGTCATACCTCCCCTGGCTATGATTGACAGAGCCTGCATGGAAAAAAAAAAACAGTTTTCACTTTTAATCAGATGTAATTTGTCTTAAACAATTTTATCTCTTTCTCTGTAAATTGAACTTTAATCACATACTGGAGGCTCTTACAGGGTCTAGCAAGCTAACATATTAACATAGCAGGGGATGAGACAATCTAAATTAAACAGAACTTGCAATAAGGGAGAGATAAACTTTTAGATGACTCTTTACAGGAAGTGTTTATGAAGGTTGTGCAAGTCACATTCAGGGAGGAGTGACTAGGGTTCATAAACAAAGTGATTTAACTCCTAAATGGCAGAGAATTGAGCAGTGAGACTGCAGGGACATGATCTATATACCAAAACTGCTTCATTATGCTAAAGTTGTTTTGGTGACTATAGTTTATTAATATAATTTGAGACAGTATTGAAGTAAAAGGAAATATATCTTACAGAAAGAAACCCTTTCAATATACATTTTCACTGCCAAGTTCTTAACACATACAGTTTAACTAAATCTAATTCTTTCAATTTAAAAAAAAAAAAATTTAGTGTTACCAACCGCTTTGGTTTTTAAGTTATTTTTTTGTTTATCATTATAATTAATTAACTTCATTATCAATAGTTATTTATTTTCTGGTTGAAAGTAAGTCAGTTGATTTGAATAAAATATGTGGTTATAGTTTACAGATTTGATTTCTGGACTGTATATCAATATTTTAATTTGCCTGTTTCATTTTAGCTTTACATTTCTTTTTGTTTATTTTTATTTATTTATTACTGGTATTTATAAAGCGCCAACAGATTCCGCAGTGCTGTACAATTAGTGGAGAATGTACAATATACACAGACAAATACAAGAGGTAGAGAGAGCCCTGCCTGTAAGCTGATATCTAGCCATTGGAGCTCTTTTATACAAAGTGCTTAGCTAGATGGCCCGTGAGCTTACAATCTTTGCAACGTCTTATTTTATTGTAATTCCCCACCCAAAAAAATTAACAAACAAACAAAACTAACATTTATTTTCATGGAATGTATAACAAAGGTTAATATTGTTGGATACATTTTTAAAATTATTTAATATTTTTGAGTAAACGTTTAAAATATTTTTTTCAAAATATTAAAAGCTAAAAAAAAATAAAAAAAAAAATATATAAATATATATATATATATATATATATAAAATAATACTAAATCATTTGAAAAGTTATCCCAAAAATATTAAATCATTTAATAATCTTATTTAAAGTTGAGGCCAAACTTTAAAAAAATAGGAATTTTATGTGTCTATATCATATTAGAGAGATCATGGTGCTCCTTGACTTGCACTTCTTCCAACTAGTTCAAATAAATTAATGTACAATAGCAAATGTCAATGTTATAGCATGAAGCTTTGAGAAACTAAAACATAAATGTAAAATAGTCACACACACTGCCTATTGCTAAGGAATATTCTGTTCTTTTTGAGAATGGGGATTCCAAAAATGCCTGCAGAATGTAGACCTTCTTTCTGTATGTGACTAGAAGTCCACATAAATTAAATTTAGTTGTATGGTGAAAACCAGCATTTCAAAGGAAATTCTGCCAAACAATGAGCAGCAAAGAAGTTATTTTTTTTTAATTGTGTTTTGTATTGTAAAGACATTCAAAACTCGATTAACATTACACATTAATTTGAAAAGAATTGTGTAAAAACAGATAAAAATGCTGGATGGTTAAAAAAAAAAAAATAGAGAGAAACATACAAATGTTGTTTTTTTTGTCTGCAATGTGATTTTGTCTACGTTGTTAATCAAGCTGTTGAAATATCTCTGAGAAGAGCATATCTAGCAAGTATTTAAAATGGCTTGATAAGTGTTAGTACCAGTCTTGTGACCTGCATTGTGCTGTTTGCATGTTTCTCAATGGTATCTTTTGTCTCCTCACAGGCTTGTTGATGTTTGCTATTACGCACATCCTTTACTCTTCTGCCTTCGGAATGAAACCTTTGGATTTGAAGACAGGTTCTGTCATTGGTTCTATTTCCATCTTCTTATACATTTTGTTATACTCCTATCTCTCAGGCCCATTCACTTATCTGGTGGCTGCCTACACGGCCCTGATTTCCTTCATGGGTTGGAGGGCCATAGCTGGAGTCCAGCTGTGCAATGACTTGTGGACATGGACAAAACTCTCAGCCTGCATTGGATCTGTGCTTTTTATAGTGTCCGACTTCACAATTGCTGTAAACAAATTCTGCTTTCCTGTCCCATGCTCTAGAGCTATTATAATGGCCACTTACTACGCAGCCCAGATGCTAATCTCGCTCTCGGCTGTAGAGTGCCGAGATGAAGAAGATTACAAAAAGAGGAAATAAAACTCCCTGGGACCGATTTTGAAAAAGAGGGTGCAATACCGCAAACAATACCTGTGTCTACAGCTCAAAGACTGCAGTTTGGCTCATCTGACGTAGCACTTCTCCTGCTTGACCTGCATCCTACAAGTGCAGTTCGGTGAAGCAAAATAAAAACAAACTATTTAAAACCGTTATTAAACTACTCCTTGCATTGCTTGAGGCTGGCATCGCGTGATACTTTCCTGCAAAGTTTACTGTATACCAAGCTCGCCCTCGACTTTGGCCAGAATAAAGGACAACGAAACCGTAGTCTGCATTTTAAGAGAGAGACAATTACTAGATACCTTGTAAGTCTTATTCTAAAGACGTTGCTTGCATTGCAGTTTATTTATAGCTAGGTCACCCAAATGGTTGGTGATTTTGCACAAAAACAAAACAACAGAAATGCACATTCCCTGGCTGTCGAAATGACCTTATAAAGTATTATCCTTTTGATTAATGATTTGCCAAGCCTTGTAATCCATCTGCTTGAATGGGAGATAGAGGTTTAGCAATTTTCAGTAGTGCTGGCAGAAATCCAAAGCATTATTGCTACAAATTATCTGCATCCGCAGGGAATAAATGTGATGTTTTTGTACTGTTTGCAGGTTCGGACAGTCAAGCAAACTGCATGCTCCGTTGTTCACAAATCTCTTCATGACTGCAGAGCAATATTTGGCAATCTAATGCAGTGGAGGAAGGGGTCTTAAGGCATCGATACCACTGGCATCTATATTAATTTTTATAGCATGGGTGTCCAATCTGTCTGATGTTGGCTAATTTTTCCAGAATTGTTTGCCAGCTGCTGACTGCTAAGGTTACAATCCCATTCACCTACGTACTTATATGGTAGCACCAGTCTTTCAGAGGCTGGTTCTGTCTGGGCATTCAGGTTTTCAGGAAAATGGATTATTAATTGGAAACTATTGTGAAACATCCACTGTGAAAAATACATTTTTGATATATTGTAGCATACATTAATACATTCGACTTTGCAATGCTGTAATGTCCATATCCCTTTAGTTTAAAAGATATTGCAGTTTTGGTTTATTGCCCCTCCTCCGTTCAATGCGAGTTGCTGTGTTCCTTGAGTATTCTTCAGACAGCAGTTAGTCAGTCTAACTGTTTGGATCATTGGCAGTAGCCTGATATGTGCTCAGAGTAGGGCACGAACTCTAACTCATAGTAGAGAGGCAGGGGAATTAAAACCCATAATATATACCTCCGCACATTTTACCAACCAGAATTCATGCTCCAGTCCCACTGTCTTGCGATTGGTCTTTGGTGTTTAACAGTTTGGGTCATCAAAATCAAAGCAACTAGTGCATGATTAGATGTACTTGCATTGACATCACCTCCAGTCTTAAGTACATACTTTAAATTACAAACTAAATAGCTGTGGCCAATACAATTGTATATTTATCTACTAAAATATATCCAAAGGTGTTATTATTTTTTTTTTATCTACGTTCCCTTGTAAGGTAATGATCACAAACAAATAATTTTTCTGCTCCACCATAGTACAGTATGTGAGTGGAATTTGCTTCTCTCTTTCTTTGCCAACGTCATCAGGACCATTTATCAATAAGGCAAAACAGCCAGATACATAAAGCAACAGTTTGTGGTCGGGAGATTTGTCTCTGATAACTTACTCTGTAAGAATTTAGAACTATAACGTTAAACCCGTGATAAAATCATTGGAGGTTAATTATTCTCCTGCCAAGTGCAAATGAGGTGCCCATGGCTCTGCCTGTAATTTATGCAGGTGCATAATATTTATCTTTAGACTGACCTAGTGATTTAGAATAATGACCACGTTACAACATTCAAATTAACTCAAAATTTTGTGGCAAAATAGCCAAATTGGAAACATAGTGGAAGCAGATAATTTTTCAAATTTGGCTATATTTAACAATTCACACTTTAGTGAATAACCCTTTTAATATAGTCCCTGGCTCCTGGCAGGAGTATAACTAACATGTAACCAAATGATGTTACCTCCGTCTCCATTTACAATACCCCAATGGGTATGCAGAAATCAGAGTAGAAAAGATGTAGAGCAACTTATATTTTTAAATTATTTTTTTTTGTGCAATATATATTGTTTCATGCATTTTTGCTGTTGATGGTTGCACTTCCCTAAAATATGGAGACAAAATGTGAAAAATATAGAAAGAAACATGTATTTTAATTTGTTTAAGAAATAAATATTACACGGAAAACTCAATGATCAGTCAGTATAATTATTTAGAGCAATGCAAATCCAATTCTGCTCTAAGAAATTAACCAGTATTAGATTAAATTACAACTAGTAGTAACGTATCTATTTCAAAATGTTTAAAAGGAATGCTTTACCCACTAGTCAAAATGCCATTCAAAACAACTACATTTTGACTTTAAGAAAAAAATGTAAAGGGTCATTCTATGCATATATCTTGCATTGTATTCATTATACGGTTAAACGTAATGTTAAAGGAACACTATAGTCACCTAAATTACTTTAGCTAAATAAAGCAATTTTAGTGTATAGACCATTCCCCTGCAATTTCACTGCTCAATTCACTGTCATTTAGGAGTTAAATCACTCTCAATCTCTAAATTGAACTTTAATCACATACAGGAGGCTCTTGCAGGGTCTAGCAAGCTATTAACATAGTAGGAGATAAGAAAATCTTAATTAAACAGAACTTGCAATAAAGAAAGCCTAAATAGGGCTCTCTTTACAGGAAGTGTTTATGGAAGGCTGTGCAAGTCACATGCAGGGAGGTGTGACTAGGGTTCATAAACAAAGGGATTTAACTCCTAAATGGCAGAGGATTGAGCAGCGAGGCTGCAGGGGCATGTTCTATACACCAAAACTGCTTCATTAAGCTAAAGTTGTTCAGGTGACTATAGTGTCCCTTTACATTTATACCAAAATATTGTAATGATCTAAATGTCTACTTTGCAGATTTCCCAAAGATCTGAGCTTTCTGCCAATGTCACTTCAACCAGGAAATTGCTAAGACCTCTCATCAAATTGCTTGTCTCCCATATTATTCTACAAGGGGACCAGCGAGCAGTTCCATGTTGTAAGATGTCTACTAGAATATTAACCGTTCAAAAAAAAATACACTCTTTTTAGACTAAATATTTTAGATTTAAATATTTACTGGATGCAAGTAACTGGTAGTCTTCTTTTTTTATTATTTAGGAAAAGTAGAAGATTTTAAGGAGACATTTTTGAAAACATAGTAGTAGCAAAATATATACTTGCAAAGTAACAAATATATGACAGATAACCTCTTTAGAATGCTAAGAATAATTTATAATTATCATGGGATTGATTTATTATCATATTTAAACACAGCCTACATTTAAAACGAAAACCAATTTAAATTTAATAGAAATGTTTATAGTTCATCAACTTTCAACTCCCTTAATTTTTTTTAATTTTTTTTACAAATTGCTTGTGCTTAGTTATTTTAATTCTTTATTAAGAAGGTTACTTAGATAATTCTAACAATTTAAACAATGGAATGTTTGAATTCAATCCAGAAATCTGTTTGATATATAGTGTATGCATATACAATTTTATAAATTATACTGGTTACACCTCCTGGCTTTTCAAGCAGACAACAAATCATTTTACTTCCGGGTTTGGTTAGCTTAGTCGCACTGAACTCAAGAGGCAGCAATTACACAGATCACCTTCCTTGCAAAGACTTCTCATTGAGATGCATTGGGAATTCTGTGATTGGACAGTCACAGAAAGTCTGGGATGGGTTAGAAGAATATTGCTTGCAAAGGCAGCAGACAAGAGATCTACAGTTTTTGCAAGCTGTTTTTAGATATAACTTCAATGAAAAAATGCATAATTAAATACAAGTTTTCTTTTGGGGTATATCCACTAAACAGTATTTTTAAAATGTATTTTGTATTTGGGCAGTGAAGTGTCCCTTTAAGAACTCTGCAGATAATAAAATATGGGGCGCCAAAGGGTGTACTTTTTAGCATTAATAGTTGAAGATCTTATAATTATTTTTTTCTGGACAAAAGAGAAGAATAATTTTAAGAAAACCTAAAAAAGGTATATATTTTTTTTAACATAGTGGTATGCTTTTAACTACTGTTATGACTTAGTTATTTTTAATGTAAAGCAAAGAATCACAAAAAACAGCAACGTTAGGTTAGTGTCTATCATGAACATAAAAGTGTTGGTTTTTTTTCTTCTTTCACAACTTTTTAAATAGCTTTCTTGAGTGTTTGAATACATGAGACACGTATTCCTTAAATTCAACATGTAAATAGATCAGAAATACAGTTCACAATCCTCAAAATATTTCTATGTTTAAGAACCAGTATTGTTGTTGTTTTCTGTACACGTATTTGATATTTTGTTGATACTAATATTTTGTTGCAAGCTGTGATCTCACCATTTTTATAAATGAATGGGCGATGTAAATTTTGGTTTGCGTTACTATCCAAGTATTTTCAAATGTCTGCATTATTATTCATTAAAATGGTTCTTAAAAGCCTTTTTCTCAGGTTCCTCTGCATGTCATGGGTTCACTGGACCAACACAGTCTCGTATGAACAGTGATGGTGTACGCCAATGTGTTCCCAGTGATGGGTAGTTGTATGGGGGGGCATTCAATAAAATACTGACTATTACCTGTGAATAGTGTTAATCTTGTGTTTGGGTGATGCGCCATTTTCTATAAAAGTTTATATCCAGGCACCATGAACAAAACAGTGATTTGAAGTGGTGCGTTGTGTCTGTAGGCGCAGAATTTCTCTTTGAAACGCTGCACACTTGGGGTTTAACCCCTTTGCGTCTGGAGGTGTAAATCCACGTCTACCAGTGTCATTGCGGTGTCAGTAGACAGTGAGGAACTAGAGTCCCGGGGCTGGCTAATGTCAATTCTGTGCATATTTCTATGCGCAAAATGTCATTATTGGCTGAGGGCAATTACATGATGCTCTCAGCCAATGAGTGACTGACGGGATTGACATTCAGCTGTTGCAGCTATGCAGAAGCTGGTTATCATCACAGCCAGCTGCATAAGACCTTCAGTGCATGGCGCAGACCAAGGTAAGAGAGCAAAGTATTACAAAACGGTTGGTGCTATTACTGCTGAATGGTCTAAGGGTATTCCTGGTATCCTAACCATTACAGCAGGCTGTAGTGGTTATGATGGGTGGAATAACTCGTTAAAGATTTAGCAAATTATATAACGTTCAAGTCAGGCACAGCCAAGGCATACAATGCAAATAAGGAGGAAGAATAGAAACATTGTTTCATTTCTCCTCTTCTCTGTATACTTTGTCTATTCTGACATCAAGGCACAAAGGGAGGAGGTTATAACAATGACTGACATGGAGCTAAGATGGAGGTGCCCAGTTGCAAGATAAAGAGGCATTTATTCTTCTTTTTTACACCTCATAAATTTATATTTATTAAATACAGGGATAAATAGAAAACTGATATTTACCCTTTGGTACTTGATCCTAGCATCTCTTTAACCATGCAACTCTTGGATAAGAGGATTTGTCCTAAAGCTCTGTGGTTCCTAACTCAATCTACAATACAATATAATTCACACCGGGCTGACCTTCCAATTGTCAGGCAGACCCGTTCCCTTTATCTGGACAGGTCCCTTTGGGCAGTGCCGTGATTTCCGTCACTGGCCCACCTCCTTTAACCCCACCACTGACATCCCAATTCATAGTACGCTGATGCTGGAGGTATGAATTTGGATTAGAGATAAAAAAGCGAGAGATTAGCATGGGGCATGTGTATTCTTTTGCATGCATCATGTGAGTTTCCCTCCACCACCTCCACAAGATATGACACTTGGAGGAGGTATAACTGTTTTAGTGTTTAGCACGATTCTGTAATAAGGCCCATCATAATTGTCAGCACCAAACCCAATGGACTCCTAATTCGGATCTGCAAATAATACATATTTATTAAAAAGTCTTAACGAGAGTAGAACAATTTAATAACATTATTCAACATTTACACCATTTTTTTTTTGCTCTATAAAAGTAAAGTTGGTTTTGATGATTGGTCAGTGTCACCTGACTTCAGCAATGTACAACCCGGCCTATTCACTAAATTGGAAATTGTGTAAAAATGAGAATTAATCTCTAAATTTTACATTAAAATGTAAAAAATGTCAAATTTTGCTACTTTGGCATAACATTTGCAAATCAGTTCTCTACATTTAAAAGTTTACTGAATAAAACTCCGAAGCTCTTCTAAACTACAACACAACTACTGTCTGCTTCCAAACCCAACTGAATTGTGTAGAGAAGGGGGGTTATGTTTGGGAATTTACTGCATAGGTTTAAATGGCCCTGACATGATTGAGTTGTATCTCTGTCTTCATATTTCGCTGTCAATTGTCCTCAGGAACGAGTTAACATAATTATTAAATCTGTCTGTGGGAATAATGCTGGTTTTTATAGGAAGCACACAAAATAGCATTTCTTGGTCCAATATGACTACATCAGTCATGCCGATTCTTAATGCCAAGATTTTCATATGAGGATGCAAAAAATAATTGTGCTTATCTGTGTGATTTAAAAACGAGAGATGCATATTGCTGAAATAGAGTGTCTCCAAACATCCAGGTTATGTAATCCTTAAGAATCCACTCTTAAATAATGCTGTCTTTCACTGCTGAATCCTTATGTATTTAAACTTCTGGAAGTATACAATGTATGCATTTGCAGGAACTGTGTACATTTTTAGTAGCTGTTTTGTGCTGATTTATTGGATTTCGCTAGGCTTTATCTCCGCGTTCTCATTGTTAATGACTGAATTTTGTTACTATGTATATATACAAAATAAACATATGACCAATACGTATGATCTCTGATTTTTCTTGATTTGAATGCAACAACCTAAACATTTTGTGGTTCATGCAAAGGCACCCATCATGAATCTAGCTATCATGTACAACAAATAATTTGTCTGTTCAATACTTTATTTAATATTGTAGAAATGGATGGCATTTTGCAGGTCATTCAGACACCAGTTTAAGACTGAACTATTAGGATTGATTTCTCATTTCAACTCTGTCTAAAATTTGTCTATAAAAATCACAGGTTTTACCTCTGTAGATCTAATTAATCACTTATTTTCCATTCCTCACAGGCAGTGCTCCTAAACCCTCACCTCAAGGCACACCTAAAAGTCTAGGATTTAGGGATTACCCAGGTGTATCTAAGGTGTTTAGAAAAAGAAAAAAAAAAAACACTTTCAAAGGTGTGTTTTTTTTTTTGTTTTTTTTTAACACCTTAAACGCACCTGGGTAATCCCTAAATCCTGGACAGTTACAGTATCTCACAAAAGTGAGTACACCCCTCACATTTTTGTAAATATTTTATTATATCTTTTTATGTGACAACACTGAAGAAATTACACAATGTACAAGTGTACAGCCTGTATAACAGAGTAAATTTGATGTCCCCTCAAAGTAACTCAACACACAGCCATAAGTGTCTAAACCATTGGCAACAAAAGTGAGTTCACCCCTAAGTGTAAATGTCCAAACTGGGCCCAATTAGCCATTTTCCCTCCCTGACATCATGTGACTCGTCAGTGTTACAAGGTCTCATGTGTGAATGGGGAGCAGGTGTGTTAAATTTGGTGTTATTGCTCTCACAGTCTCTCATACTGGTTGGAAGTTCAACATGGCACCTCATGACAAAGAACTCTGAAGATCTGAAAAAAATTATTGTTGCTCTACATAAAGATGGCCTAGGCTATTATAAGATTGCCAAGACCCTGAAACTGAGCTGCAGCACAGTGGGCAAGACCATACAGCAACCGCACAGGTTCCTGTGGGGATATTTATGGGGTGATAAATATTAAAATAATATTTTCATAAAAATTATCAAAAATTTATTTAATAATTTTTATTATATCAAAATTGATATCTTGAGAATTACCCACTAATTTGCTTAGATCCTAGAGATAATCATCATTTAGAGGATTTTTACTCCATACAAATAAATCACAATTTGATTATAAAAATATAATTTATTGTGACATAATAATAAAATAATAATAATATGTAACATGCGTGATAATAATCAGTGAATACTTCATATAAAATAGGTATACAAAATATGGCAATGGTTTAAACAAATTCAGCGTCTACAGCATCAACTGTCAAGACTTACAAAATTTATGAGGGTCCTTCACACAGAACACAGAAAGCTAAACTTCACACAGAACACAGAATTCCTCAGAGCGCAGCTAGAAGTTGTAAAATCCTGGCTATTGGTTAGATCCTGATTAACTCTTTCAATACTGGCTAGAATCCTCTTAGGCATTTAATATCCTATTCTATTGCTATTTTTAATTAAAACAACGTTCAAACCAGCGCATTAATCATTTCCTGGAACCATCCAATAAGAATAATCTACCAGATTTTAAAAAAGCCGAATTTTAATTCTCTACATAAGATACATTATCTTATTTCAGAGCAAATCAATACATCTGGATAAAAACAGCAGTATGCTAACACGTGATAAAATATAATTAATTTATAATTATCTCGATTCCACCTGCAGAATGGAATGTTTATAACTATATATATTCTTTAGTTAACTGAAATTTCTAATTATTGAAATCTAACCGGGATTTATCCAGGCATATATCCTGTATGTAAAAATTTTAATTAATTTAAATTAATTAAATAAAACCAGCATAATTACCAGTTATGTTGTAGATGCTCTTATCAGATGTTCTTCTTATCAGATGATTAGATAGTTCCAAGAATTGAATGGAATTATGATTGTCTGGAGGTGTGAAGGATTCTATGTAATAGGAAAGTGGGATCGGTTAGGAAAGTTTGTAGGTAAAATTCTAAGTGTTCAGGAGGTATTTCTTGAGTTGAGTCAAAGAGTATGAGAGTTGAGTGTTAGGCTCAGAGTGTCCTGAATCTCTCTGCATGTGCCAATCTCCCTGAATGTCCAAATCTGAATCTGAATCTCTCTTCCCTTTGTCTTTACTTTTTAAAGGGCCAGATTCTCTGTATGTCATTAATTGATCAGACGAGTTGGAAACTGAAGGTGTGACCAATCCACAGACCACCATCTAGATTTTGGAAAATAGATGGTGCCCTTACATCATCACAATTTTGTGTCCTCGCAAGAGTTAACTAATTTTGATGATGATTCGGGCGTAATTTCTTTATCTATTTTATGACGGCATAACTGAAATTTGCTGTCAGTTCATAGGATTTCTTTGTTTTTTTCTCCAGACAGAGCGTTGGTAATTCCTGTTGTAAATCTAAAACTGACATGTCTAAACCTTAATTTCACCGCTTGCTTACAATGTGACCTTGTAAGATTTAGAAAGTAAAATTAATTACTATGTCTTATCTGTAACTGTTGTCTGGCTTTCTTGTGTGAAACTAACATTGAGAAGAGTATTCCATCCCCCCTTCTCTGTTAGACTCATTTCCTTGTTTACATAATCCATTCTTTAGCTCATGCTTAATGACTGGAGTTAGACAGAAATTGTGTCTCTTTCTTAGCCTGAAAATCCAAAATGGAGTCAACTTTGTTTTAAGTGTGACTGGCAGTAGACACTTTTAATTTCTATCTTAGCACAAAATGTCTGCTGATATAAATATTCTGACATTCCACTCAGAATAGGCCTCGTCATGATCGACTAAAGAAGTTGAGTGCACGTGCTAAGCGTCATATCCAGAGGTTGTCTTTGGGAAATAGACAAATGAGTACTGCCAGCATTGCTGCAGAGGTTCAAGTTGTGGGGTCAGCCTGTCAGCGCATCAAATTTGTCTGCATGGCTGTTGTCCCAGAAGGAAGCTTTTTCTAAATATGATGCTAAAGACAAGCAGACTAAGGACATGGATTATTGGAACCATGTCCTGTGGTCCGATGAGACCAAGATAAACTTATTTGGTTCAGATGGTGTCAGGCGTGTGTGTCAGCAACTAGGTGAGGAGTACAAAGACAAGTGTGTCTTGCCTACAGTCAAGCATGGTGGTGGGAGTGTCATGGTCTTGGCCTGCATGAGTGCTGCTGGCACTGGGGAGCTACAGTTTATTGAGGGAACCATGAATGCCAACATGTACTGTGACATACTGAAGCAGAGTATGATCCTCTCCCTTTGAAGACTAAGCCACAGGGCAGTATGCCAACATGATAACGAACCCAAACACACCTCCAAGATGACCATTGCCTTGCTAAAGAAGCTGAAGCTAAAGGTGATGGACTGGCCAAGCATGTCTCCAGACCTAAACCCTATTGAGCATCTGTGGGGCATCCTCAAACAGGAGGTGGGGGAGCGCAAGGTCTCTAAAATCCACCAGCTCCGTGATGTCATGGCAACATGTGAAGCTCTGGTGAACTCCATGCCCATGAGGGTTAAGGCAGTGCTGGAAAATAATGGTGGCCACACAAAATATTTACACTTTGGGACCAATTTGGACATTTCCACTAAGGGGTGTACTCACCTTTGTTGCCAATGGTTTAGACATCAATGGCTGTATGTTGAGTTATTTTGAGGGGGCAGCAAATTTACACTGTTATACAGGCTGTACACTTACTACTTTACATTGTAGCAGAGTGTCATTTCTTCAGTGTTGTCACATAAAAAGATATAATAAAATATTTACAAAAATGTGAGGGGTGTACTCACTTTTGTGAGATACTGTAGTTGTGCCTTGAAGAGAGGGTTGAGGAGCATTGCTCTAAGGCACTCCCTTATGCCCTGTGGAGGGCACTTCCCCTCGTCTACCCAATTATCTCAGTGCCCTAACCCCACAAGGAGAAGAAAAGTGAGGGTTTAATCAATCCAGCATAGTCTCAGGTAAAATAATTGTAAGTGTACCTCTTTAAAGGGACACTGTAGGCACCCAGACGACTTCGACCCATTGGAGTGGTCTGGGTGCCAACTCCCACTACCCTTAACCCTGCATGTGTAATTATTGGATTTTTTTTATAAACTGCAATTATTACATTGCAGGGTTAACTCCACCTCTAGTGGCTGCCTACTAGACAGCCACTAGAGGGCACTTCCTGCTTCATAGCATAGAAAACCTGTGCTAGAGCGTCGCTGGACGTCCTCACGCTGTGTGAGGACCTCCAGCATCACTCAATTCCCCATAGGTAAGCATTGAAAAGCTCCAATGCATTGCCCTGCATGCGCATTATGTCCCCCCGGCCCGTGGGCGGGATCAGTCTTTCCCTTTAATGGAAAGTGGGAAAGTTCCAAAAGTGTAATAATTGCCATGGAAAGACATGGAATCAGCATAGAGCAGTGGCTTCCTAGCCCGTAAAGCCACACCATAATTCAAGGTTTTGTCAATATCCCAGCAAAAAATGTCTAAATGAACTGAATCCAATGGGGAAGTATTGGGATTTACAAAAATAGCGTTGCAAAATACCTTTTACAGTTATATTTATTATTTATCACTTTTGTTTTCTGATGGGTTTCATTCAGAATTTGGAACAAGGACCATTTGCTCATTCCTGTTCTGGACCTGTAAGAGTTAAACTTGGAGCAGGATTTCCTGGGAGATGCAATGTCCATGCTATTGTTTGGGAAAAAGGTTTCAGACAATCCAAAATAGTTCTAAAATGTGCCTATTAGTGTATTGCAATGCACTAATAAAACACTAGTGAGTGGTCAAAATTATATTCTTCTACCTAATAAAAAAAATATTAAGTGAGGAGTTTTATAATGATTGTTTTTCCTTATTGTTGTATGCCTAACAGACATCAGAAGGATGCATGTTATTTGTTTTATGTTATAATACAGCATAAATCCCCCTTTAATAAGATACTGAGCAGTAAACATACAGATAAAAGCAGTTGTTGAATAA